TGTTTGTGTTTTTGTTCGGATTCTTGTCACCCACATTCAACTGAGCAACCGTGGAAGCTACGAAGCTGGAATTTTTTTCTGGAGCGAAGATGTTCTTAGTCTGATTGCCACCTAAACAGCTTAAAATTAACGTTCGCTTACGTCTTCATTTTTTCTAATCAATCTAAATTTAATGCAACTTCATAACAATAACGGAAAAGTCTGTCAAATGAATGCCGCATGAGATATCGTTGCAAACATGAGGGATTGTGAAATCTGACAGGCATAGCATTTTGCTCGTTTTACTAAAAATTAATGGGTGTCTCGTATCAACGAACGATGCTCATGAGAAAGAAAATGTTGTTCGGGTGGTTTCCAAACAGCTGTCGTGCATGTGTTTCAAAGAAGCACAAAACAAATAGCAGGAACAGCGTAGATTGGTAGGTATATTGTTACGCCTCAGCAACACTAGAAGACATAAAAATATTCCTTGCGTAAAGTGTTTCTAAAGCCGTTTAAAATGAAAATATTTCTCTCCCAGTTATTTAGGTTTTATTCGGAAACCGATGATATGCTGTGAGCTCAAATTAGTTTCCGATGATTTCGCAGACCCTGCTTACCATTTTGCATGTAGGGATGTAAAAAACAGGAATTTCTGAAGCGAGTGATTTTTATGGTGTTGAAAAATATAATACCTCATTTCATAAGCCGATTGATTTCGCAGAAGTTGGATGTTGTATAGTGAAAGTTTCGAATCGCTTTCCGAAAACCGAATATTAAGAAGCGCTGGCAAAAATTGATTCCGGAAACTGAAATTTTTTGCAAATGATTGCGCCGTATGCGTCTCATCAAGAGAAATGCGGGATGTTTTGCGATGGGCTGCATTTCGAAGAAAGTTTGGAGTCGCTTCCTGGAACACGCATTATTGGGAACGGTTAAAATAAAAATGTAGACAGGAAGGAAGTTAACAAAATCTTTGTTTTTACAGTTATTCGGTAATGCGTGCTTGCTGGTCTCAGAAGCCATCGAAAAGGCCTGATTTTGGAAGTATTCGACAAAAGCTGGCCAGTCAGCTAGAAGATATCACGGACCAGTATTCGTATTTAAAGTTGGACTCTCGACGAGATTATTATAACGTGGTCTACGACACAAATGACATGGTATGCAGAGTCCTGTGATGTTAATCTTTATTCATAGGTACTGTTCAGGATTGGGAAAGGTAAAACAAATGAAACATTTGTTATAACCTAATTTTTTCTGAGGACTGTAAGAGACCGAAAGTGCTTAATTTAAGCGTACGGGAAAAAAGTTG